CTTTAGTCAGTGTTGATTTTGAGCTTTGTTACATTGTGGTCTGATAGAATGCATGGAATTATTTCAATTTTTTGTATTTGTGGCCCAGTATGTGGTCAATTTTGGAAAAAGTTCCATGGGGTGCTGAGTAGAAAGTGTATGCTTTGGTACTTGAGTGGAATATTTGAAAGATGTCTGTTAGGTCCATTTGATCTATGGTATCATTTCATTCAGACATCTCTCTGTTTATTCTTTGTGCAGTTGACCTGTCTAATGGAGAAAGTCAGGTATTGAAGTCCCCTACTATTTCTGAGTTGGGGTTGATCTGTGTCTTAAAGTCCTGTAGTGTTGTTTTTATGAATTTGGGTTCACCAGAGTTTGGTGCATATATGTTAAGGATTGTAATATCTTCTTGGTTAATTGTTCCTTTGATCAGAATGAAATGACCCTCCTTATCTCTTCTGATTTGTTTTACTTTGAAGTCTATTTTGTCAGCTATTAGAATTGCAACCCCTGCTCGTTTCTTAGTGCCTTCTTGGAATATTCTTTTCCATCCTTTTACCCTAAGGTAGTGCCTGTCCTTGAAGGTCAGATGGGTTTCTTGCAAACTGCAAAGTGATGGATTTTGTTTCTTAATTCATTCATTTAGCCTATGTCTTTTGACTGGGGAGTGCAGTCCATTGATATTTAAGGTTATTATTGAAAGGTGTGTATCAGTTGCCATCATTTTGGTTGCTGTTTGTGTTCTCTGTCTGATTTTGTGTTTCCTCAATTATACCTTTATTTTCTTTCATTGCCCCAGGGTATAGTTGTTTCTCTCTCTGCTCTCTATATTGCTTTAAGTATTCTTTGAAGGACTGGTTTTGTGGACATGTATTCTTTCTGGCTGGCTATTCGTGTCATGGAAGATTTTTCTTTCCCCCTCAACTGTAATAGACATTTTTGCTAGATAAAGTATTCTGGGCTGGCCTCTTTTGTCCTGTAGAACTCTTCTGGCTTTCATAGTTTGCGTTGATAAGTCAGCCGTAATTCTGATGGGCTGTCCTTTGTATGTGACTTGTTGTTTTTTTCTTTTGCTGCTTTCAGTATTCTCTCTTTGTTCTGTACATTTAGTGTTTTTACTATGATATGTTGTGGACAGTTTCTTTTCTGATCCTATTTGGTGTTCTATGTGCTTCCTGTATTAGTATGGGGATGTCTTTCCTTAATTTCAGGAAATTCTCCTCTACAATCCTGTTTAAGATCTGGTCAACACCATTAACCTGAAATTCTTCTTCCTCTATTCCTATGATCCATAGATTTGGTTTTTCTTGGTGTCCCACATCTCTTACATATTCCATTCCTGTTTTTTTTCCCCATAATCTTTGCTTGAGTGGTCCAATTCTTCAACTTTATCCTCCAGTGTTGATATTCTGTTTTCCATTTCATTCATTTTAGCGGTGAGGCTTTCTCCTGTTGTTTCAAGTTGGCTTATTGAGTTTTGTACATCCTTCTTCATTTCTGCTTGAGTTTTCTTCAGAGTTTCTATCTCTTTTGTGAATTCATTCAGAAGTTTATCCCTATCTTCTTTTAGTTCTTTGTTCATGTGTTCTTTAAATTCGTTGAATTCCTTGATCATGTTTATGATTGTTCTTTTAAGTTCAGTGTCCTGGGTCATCTCTAGGGGGTTCTCCTTGTAGAACTCTTCTACAGGATTGGTGGTTTGGTGGTGACATAGTGTTATGGCTTTCCATTTTATTATTCTTTCGTTGTGATTTTGGTATGTGAATTTCTTTTGTTGTTTATGATTCTAATATGAGAATTAAGTTGAAGCATGCTTCTGTTTTTATTATCGGGGTTCCTAGGTCGTTTCCTTATTGGTTATGTAAAGCTGGTTGGTACATGTTTCAGGTTCTCACAGGTTTTATTTTGGAGGGAATTGATTGCTTTAGATCAGCTATTCAGGAGCACTCACAAAGCCCAAGTCAGGTTCCAGTCAAGTGCACCAAGGCTTCCTTCTAAGGTTTGGGCCTCTAATAGCAGGAACTCTGAGAAAATTTGGACAATTCCCTGGGTAGGTAAATTTTTGTTGGGATAAGTCAGGAGTGCCTGGAATGTACAGCATTACCAGGCTGGAGACCTCCTAGTGAGGACAGCAGGAAACTGGCCGGCTCCATTCTAGATACACTGTCTCTTACCCAACAACCCCCAAGCAAAACTATTATGTCTCTAATCCTTTAATACTAACCAGGTCTCTTGTAGATCATGTGACCAGATGACTGGACAAAGGCCACATAGCCTTAGAAGCCCCCTCCCTCCCCCATCTGCCTGCCACCAGTAAACTAACCCCAGCTCTTTGCCCCTGAAACTTTCCCATATAAACCTCTGCTTCCATTATAATAAATGAGCTGTCCACTGACACAGCCTCCTGGGTGTTTCTTCCCACCCTACTCGCCCCCACCCGAGGCCCCTCTCACCCCATCAGTCTCTCTCCTAGCCGCGACTGTCCGAGTCTGGGACCAGTGTGCAGATGGTCTTCCAGAAGCAGTGGAGTTTAGGCTGAGGAGAGGTGGATAGATTTTGGGACTAACACTTGGTCTATTGTGCTCTCAGCCCCTATGCCATTGGAAGGCTGCTACATCTATGGAGGTTGGAGCCCACCCTCTCAGGCTATCTGCTAGGATGTTAGCCTTAGTCTACCAAAGCCAGGTCTGCCCTAGGGCCTTGGGAGGGGCCTCAGGAAATCCCAGATAGGGGGAATGGGTATGGCACAATTAGGGGAAGCTCACCATCATGTGGAGGCAGGATCTGGGTGCTCTCAGGCAGTCCCCTGCATTCTCAGCCCCTATGCCAGAGGGAGGCCAGAATCCGGCAATCTCTGGTGGTCTGCGGCTACACCAATGGAAGTCAGACCCACTCTCTTTTTCAGTATATTAACTTATTATGTAGATCAGACTGGTCTTGAAATCACAGAGATCCTGCCTGCCTCTGCCTCCAGAGTCCTTGGGTTATAGGTGTGGGCCACCACACTCAGCTTCAAAATTTAGGAAGGCTGCCTCTTACTGTACTGGTGAGAATGTTTTATTTTGTTTTGAGACAGGGTCTCTCTGTGTTTTCCAGGCTAGCCCTGAACTTCTGGGGTCAAGTGATCCTCCTGAGTACCTGGAACTGTAGACCCATCTTTGATGGGTTCTGACTCCTGGCTTAGCACTTACCGCACTGAGCATGGTCCCTTGCATGGAGCACATACTAAATACCTTGAATTGCATGTCAGCTGCTCAGATCTTCTCAGACCCTCCTTTCTGGTTTCATGTCTACCTAATAATTAGGTACCAAGTCTTACCAGTTTTCACAATTTCTTCTTTTTAATTCCTGTTGAGTACAAGATGTGGCTACTTTATGTCTGAACTAAGAACTTTTGAACTGATCACTGAATCTCTAGGCCCTTCCCAGTTCATGTTATTTTCCATATTAACTCTGCAATCATTTTGTCATAACTCCCTTTGGAATCCTGATTACAGGCTAGAGAGATAGCTTAGCAGTTAAGAGCACTTGCTGCTCTTCCAGAGGACCTGATTTTGGTTCCCAGCACACACACATCAGGTGGTTCACAACCACTTGTAACTCCTGCTTCAGGGAACCCAACACCTTCTTCTGGCCTTTACAGGCTATGTTGCATACACAGTATACATTCAGGCATGATACACACACATACACATGCATAAACAAATTTTGAAAATCTCCCTTTTGCCTGGAGGGCATTTAAACCCTTAAAGCCTTTCCATTTTTTGCCTTAATTTACTGTCCTATTCATAGCTCACACTCTGCTCTGTTTGAACTCTTCATTTTAACAAAATCAGTCTATTAATATACTTTGTTCATTCTCTAGTCCCATGCTTAT